CTCCTTTAAAGTACATTACTGTGTTTTACAGATGAAGCAAAGCTGCCTACCAACTACAAGCAAAATAATTTTAAGAAATATTTAGGTGAATTTACATACGGTAGATCAGCATCAAATTATAAAGGAAAAGTTAATACTTAGGTCACCTCCTTATCTTACAGCATTTGACATCATGCAAAATAATCATGCTGCCTCAGGGGCAACTTGCAAAGTGAAAAAATTACCTGTTTGTCTTACATTGGAAATAATAAAGATCCTTTGTAACCTTATAAGTAATCTAACAGATAGGAATATGGTCACAGAAGCCTATGTTAGTTGTTCTGTTTTTTCAGGAAGATTGGACTGGTGCCATGGAAGAATATCTATAATTCTCTATCAGACTCTTATGGTCATGCATTAAAGCATAACTTGGTCCATTAATCCTGAGTATCATAGAAGTTTGGAGTATTTTGTGATTGCAAAAACATGTCTTTATGCCTTATTGGTGTTCACAGCTTCCCTCAAGTGTGTGGTGGGGTGGAGATGGTCAGTCCTTATTATTCAAAGCTGGATCATTGGCAGCTTTCCTCTTACTCATCTGCTAGGAAAACCCTGTGCGGCACAGTTAGAAGAAATGGTAATGTGCTCACATTTCCTTCTGTAGTTTATCCCAAGACCTGAGATTGTGACTGGCAACTGGCCCAATACCAGAAATTTTATTCCACATTGATTCTGCCTTTCTTGGCACTTGTTCATTTCAAAATCTGCACCAAAAAAAAAAAAAAATCTCCTCAAGATGAAGCACTGAACTCAATGCCAAATGGACCCTCTTTTTGAATCAGGTTCTTTGAGCATTTAGTGCCTTTTCAAAACATCAACTGATTATAATTTTTATGCTTTATTTTGAGACTGTTTTCTCATTTTAACTCCTTTGAGTCTGTGATTTTATAAATAGTGTCCTTATTATGGTCTACTTCAGGCTATCCTCACAGACTTTGCCAAGAGTCCCGGAGCAGAACTGCCTATTTTTGTGCCCTCTTGAGGAGGCTTGTTCCCAACCCTCCCTTGTTGTCAGTTTGATCCAGGCTGTCTGCTGCCTGATGTTTTGATGTCTCTCTCCATTAACTAACTCTTGCCTTTGGATCACAGAGCTTCAGCTCCTTGTTTACTGCTTTCCCTGTTACAGCTCTTGGCTTATGGTTTCAGTCTGTGTCTCAGTAGAATCCTCGGCGACTTCCTGTGTCACTGCTTGCCCCTCCTAGTCGGCAGATTGTTTTTTCAACGATTTGACTTTCCAAAGATAGCCTGTTCACAGTTCAAAGTGTAGATTGTATCTTTTCTCTCCTAGACTGCACTCACTGTAATTATTGGTAAGAGGCTGCAAGGCTGACATGTAAATGTAAGTGACTACCTATGCTGTGTCACCGAAACGGTGTAAGAATTAAGTCCTGTCCAGGGTGTCTGAAATCCCAGATGAGAGATTCATTTCTCTGACTTCAAAAATGTTAACATTTTTAAGAGAGCTTGATCAAATTATAAATACTCTCTCAGTTTGTATGTTTTTCTACATCTAATACTGTAATGCTTACCATATTACGTATTTTTCTAATACTGTAATTAGTTTTGTTTCTGTGCCCCTGTGAGACAATAAGCCATTTGTATATGAATGGTGTTTCCAGTCTTTGTGTCTTAATTCAGACTGGTGTGTGGTTATGGAGCAGGAGCTTAGTTAGGGAAGGATTACTGTAGAAGGAGAAAGTGGACATCACCAAATGAAGTGCAGAGGGTGTCACTGACATAGAGCATTAGTGCATAAAAACACAGGAAAGCAAAGAAAGTAACAAGCATTCTGGCATTTAAAATTCTTTCAGTGGTGCAAAGCATAAAATTCAACAGTTAAAGACACTGGTAGTGAGACAAATTAGAAGAGAGGTAAGCAAGAGCCAAAGGTTTTTTTGAATAGTGAGACACTAAATGATTTTAAGCTATCAATTCTATGCTTGAGGAAAATTATCCTGGTGCCACTGGGGACAGTTTATGGGACACAGCTAATACTGGAGAGGGGAAATTCAGTTATAGGACTGTTCCAACCATTCAAGGGACAACTATGAGGGCCTAAGCCAAAATAGTATCAGATGATTTGGGGAAAAAAGGAACTAATTCCACAGACATTAAACAAATCAAGTTAAAGAACACACTTACCAAATGTGTGGGTGTGATGCGCAGGCAGGGGAAACAAGGATAGAGGTAGGGCAGAAATGAGGGTAGAAAACTAAGACAATCCCCATTTCTTCACTCATTGATTGATTCAATAATGATGACTGACCCAATTTTCCTAAGGACAGTATAAGGATGGTGTGTGTTTGGGGTAATGTGCTGCCTTCGGAAGGCATAATACCATACACATCAGTTCTTCGAACATCTATACATCGGACCCAAGCACAACATGAGGCAACCTCAACAAGAAAACAGGCACTCAGCCACTGAGGACCCTAACAATGTGCTCTTGAAACATGGTTAAACGCCTGCTCCCTAGAGCAAATCTCAAGGATCTAAGAGAATGATATGAAATACCAAATATTCTTAAGCAAAGAACAGACCTGTTCACAGCATGTTTCCATGGTGAATTATTTAGTAGCCTTCAAAACAACTTACTAACAAAATGAGAAACTTAGTAAGGTGGCCTCTCTAGCAATCAAAGAATAAAATCTGGTATCTAAAATATCAAGAAAATACAAACCATAAGAAAAATTATGCAGGCTTTACAAAGCCAATCAAGGTAATTAGGTACTTAACTAGAATAACAAGTCAATTAGGAGGAGAACTTAGTCTCAGGTCCAGAGAAAACCAACAGAAATGGTGAGTTGGAAGCATGCAACTATTTCTAAAATTAACATTCTATTACCCTGCCTTTATATTACGCATAAAGGTGCCATAAGGTTCACTAGCTCAGTAGTCCTTATCACTGCTATTTCCAGCTCAACCATACTAATAACAAGGAATCTCTTAATGTACTGCCTGTTGAATAAATTGTATAGAAGAATAAATGTCCAAAGTAATTCCGATTTCCAGATGGAGATTATTTGATCTTAAGGACAATGAAACCATTACATTAGCAGAAATTAATAAGCATGATTAAAACAAATACATAGCATAGTGGTTATAAGCTCACTTTAACTCAGAAAGACCTTGATGAGAATCCTGGCTTTTGCACGTAAGAGGTTTCTTGGCTTCTCTAAGCCTCATCAATAATATAGTAATAATAGCACCTAATTCACAGAACTATTGTGAAAAGTAAACGCTCATGAGGTCCCCAGTCCCAAATCTGGCATATAGTAAGTATAAAATATGTATTAATATAAAGGACAAATTAACAACATCCTAAGAAATGGTAATTTGCATTTCCCTTTACAGAAGAGATTGAGGCTCTGAGAAGGTCATGATGACTTGTCCAAGGTCATGATGTTAGGAAATACGAGAACAAGAGTGTAAACACAGATCTGCTATAGGCAGATAGTAAATTGCTCTGATTTTTTTTATTCTACATTTTAGAAGATACCCTTTCAAAAATCGAGGACCTAATGTAAATACTGTACTGAGCTATGGCTTCAGAATTAAATGAGAAACACAGCATACAAAAGAAAATGAAAGCAAAAGCAATCTACTGCAAACATGATCAAGTTTAGAACACAGAACCTATGAGAAATGGTTAAAACAATCAAGATAATTTATCCTGGAGAAGAGACAGTAGATGGGAATATAATTGCAATTATCAAATTTTCAGAAATGTAGGTTAGAATATTATGTGCACTTTCACTTTGCAGAATGTTTTAATTATTCTCAAAGGATTAAAACTTAAATGTAAGGAAGAATGACAGTTATAAAATAGGTAGTCTGCTGCCAATTTTGAATAGGAATTTATGGGGGTGGGAATGATTTCAGGAGATAGATGAGAGTTCTATTTAGGATTCATGGATGAATTACTATGTTTATATTTTCAGTTCTGTAACTAGAGGGGGGCTGCTGGATTGTGAGAAAATCTTAAAACTCAGACTTTTTTGTACAATGTGTATTTCAAAGAAAGGTAATATCTGAATTCTCATGTTTAATTACTAAAATGCCCATCAATTATACCAAAAAGAAACAGTTCACAGCAATTTTCCACTTAACAATGTTATGACCAACAAAGAATTTGATTATCCTATAAAAATTTATCTCAGTATATAATTTCACACTTACTAAATGATAAATAAGCCATTTGTTATTGGTTATTAGTCATTATACTATTATTATTGTCACTACCTCTAACTAAAGAAGCTTAGGGATTAGATATTCCCAAATTTCACTTTCAAACTGACCACTCACTCTAGATATAACCATGGATAAGAGCAATAAAAAATTAAATGCTTATTTCTAGACAGCTACACACAATGCTGACCAAGTCAATCTAGCGTGAGAAGGCTCATCAACATCTAATAGCAAAAAGGTTTTTAGAAACAATGTATTTCTCTTAAACGTGATTATACAATCACACTAGGGGGCGCTCTTAACACTGAAATAAATTATGGATGACATACTGAAAACGTGGTCTCTTTTGGCCAGAATGAGAAATTTTTCTAGGCATGTAGTACCTGCAACAAGTCCTTATCTCTTGGAAATGTGTTGGCAGTACACACATTTTCTTTTGCATCCAACTGCGTTGTTAAAGACTATCAAATTAGTCTATCAAGTAAAACATTTTCTGCTGATAGGAAGTATCTTATTTTGGCAACATTTGTTTAGACTGACATCTGTCTCTTATTCTTTCTGTGATGAGGCTGACTCTCAATAATAAACAAAATGGTTAAAAGTATATATAATTTTTAAAAATGCTTTCATTGTCAATGTTATTGTATTTTATATGATTTCCCATAAGACCTTCAGCTTTTTATTTTTCTATAAAAAAATGGGTTATCTAAAATTGATAATCACAGTGAAAGTATAACCTGGGCACTATGGACTTTCTCCATATTTCTCATTACCTGGTAGGAACTGAAGCCCTGATGCTCTCCTCAGAAAGTTCAAGGTTCAGATTCCTAAAAATATAATTAGATAGTTAGTGTGTTTCTTCAAGATAATAGAAAAAGGCAAGTAAGTATGGGTTATATTACCCAGAGAAAATCACCAAATACTACTCCATCAACACTAAATAGTTTTATATAAATGACACCTGATTAAATAAACTCTAAGAAACAATTTAAAGTTAAAAGGAAAGAATCACAAAATATGTGAAAAGAAGACACAGGTATCTGTCTTTCTATAGTGGTAGAGGAGTTCATAAACTTTTCTCAATACAAGTAGTTGAGATCACCCTCTTTTCCTATCACTGCTTTCACCAACAACCTTTGCCCCAGCTCAAATAAGGACAGTTCTGGCCCAAGCTCACCTAGTATGTATGTATGGAGAGTAAGCAGCTACTTCAATGTGAGTTCAGGGAAACAGGAATGTACCTCTGCATGTTTGCTCACTAAATCAAATCCACCAGCATATCAATGTCTCAAATCCTATTGATAAGAAACAATTTTTCATTCTATAACAATAGTAAAGGTTCAAGTAAAAACAACTTGGAAGAAGTAAAAATACACCTGGAGAAAATGATACACTTATGCAGTGCTTTAAACCAAAGTGTATGTGAATGATGGAAGTCCTACCTACTCAGCAGTAGATTTAATACAATTTTCAAGGATGTGGTTGGGGCAGAAGAGAAAGGAAGAAAAAAAGAGCACAGATGACAAAAGGACAGGCCACAGAAAATGCTGCAGGAACAGTAATGTTAGGAAAGGAGTCAGGTGACTTCTGTTACCTGTGTTACTACTTCCTGGAGTAAAACAAGCACTGAGAGGTCCATCAAAGCAAATGCAGCCTTGCTTGGGGAGAGGAAACATGTGAAATGGAGCCTCTGGCATATGGTAAGGCTGCATGACTTTCCATCAATATTAAAGTCAGAGAGTGGTAGTGCTAGGCTTCCATGTGATGCATCCTGATAGGAGTAGACTCGGAGCTAGTTGCTAGAAAATGGAGGTAGTTTATGCTCCACTAAGAACAGAATGGTTGCCAGAGTGCCACCAAGTGACCTATGCTTTAGATCAGGTCCTATTAGTGCCTGAAGATAAGGATATTAACCAACAAATGGCAAATTTTAAAAAAGGTCTGATAAACTAGATATTAAAAAAGGTTTGATAAACTGGGTATGAGATTAGTTATCTCAGGATCAGTCAAGGACACAAAGGTTTTTGATCTGAACAACTGAAAGAATAGAGCTGCCATTTAGTGGGACTGGGAAACCATGGAAAAAGCAGGTTACTGGGAGAAATATTTATATTGACTTTGGATATGTGAGTTTTTGAGATATCTATCAAACATACCCAAGAGGATCAATATAAAGTAAGCAGTTGGCTGTATCAGTGTGGAGTTTAGAAAAGGAAATCAAGCTCTAAGTATAAAACTGAAGGTTATCCACTCATTGACAGTATTTAAAGCCATGAGATACAGGAGGAAGTGAGTGCAAAGAACAGAGAGGACAGAGACTAGCCATGGTGTGGGCAGAATCTCAGGTGGCTCCACCATCCCTGCCTTCTTGTCATACCTTTGTATAGTTCTCATTCCCTGGAGTGTGGCAGGACCTATAACTTGTTTCTAACCAATAGAATATGTAGCAGGATGTATGTGAATTACACTGTGTTGTAACATTATATGAGATTATTGTGCCCAAACTGCTGGAGTTTCTCCCTAGCTAGCTGGGATGCAAACAGCCATGCTGCAGAATCCACTTGGCAAAGAACCAAGTGCAGCCTCTAGAAACTGAGGGCAGCTTCTAGCTGGCATCTTGTAAGGTCTTCAGCCTCTAGCCAACAAGAAAATGAGGTCCTCGCTCCTAAAGCCTCAAGAAAATTAATTCTGCCAATAATCTGAGTAAACTTGGAAATAAATCCTTCTCTAGTTGAGCATTCAGATGCTACCCAAAAGGCCAGCTGACAGCTTTACTGCAGTCTTGCAGAAGACCTAGTTAAGCTGTGCTTAAACTTCCGGCCCAAAGAAATAAGATAATAAGTGTGTGATGTTTTAAACTACTAAATTTGTGGTAATTTGTTGTTCAACAATAGAAAAATAATGCAAACCCTAAGTTACTACAACATTTATAGGCCAGGGATTTATGAAAGATCCAGGGAAAAATGACCAGAGAGACCAGTGAGGTAGGAGGAAAACCAAGAGACAAGCATTTCCCAAGTTTATCTCCAGCTTCCTCAGAGAAATATGAAACAGAGATAAAGAGCAACAGAAAAGTTGAATCTACTGACCTGCTAGATGCTCAGGGGGAATCACCACTGAAAGGGACATGATAAGCCAGGTGGAGCCACCTTTGTTCCAGCCCTGGGAGTCCTCTGCTTCTGCCCAGGAGAAGGCAGCAGGAGATGTGATTCTGCATGGGAGAATCACAAGAAGCAAGACAGTGTTTAGTTCCTTTTGCTCTATATGGTCATTCAGTAAGAATACTAGTCCTTGCTTTCAAAGATTTATAACTTTGAGAAAGATTTATGTTTTCTTTTTACCAATGATGAATTGTACTGCAGTTTGTTTATTTTTGGCGGGGGTTGGGGAGGTTCCTTGCAATCTACCCAGCTCATAGGGCATCATCACTGAAAGGGACATAAGAAGCCAGATTGAATCACCTCCATTTCAGCCTCCTTCTGAAGAGAAAGTATTAAAAGGCATTGTAAGTAAATGTCATTCAGCCTTATTACACTCCCTGGAAGGCCCAATCAGTGCCAGAGTTATGCTACTTCATTGTTTATAAGGCTATGAAAGGCTTTTCAGAACTGGCTAATACTTAATACTAATAAAAGTCAGCTCATTTTAATTACTAAGTATCTAACATAACCTATTTTTAAACTTTTCATTGTTACTAGAAATGTTTAGATTGGTTTTAAATTTTTTTTAATCAATACAACCAAATCTAATGGGCATGTATTATGTGTAAGGCTCTGAATGAACCAGGTATAGCTCAGTGAAAGAGACTGCCCAGCTATTTGTACATCTGTCATTTGTATGCAAACTTACACTATTCATAAATCACTGTCACACAACCAAAGACTATGTTATGCTCTAATGTGACTAGCATTCAGCTCTTATCTAGATTTAACTCTGCCCCTTGCACCATCAGATTTCCCCCTGGTTTTGTCCATCATCAAGGCTGAGCATAACTAAACAAGTTGTTCCTGTGTTTTGAGTTTGTTCAGTTTAGCAATGTTCATTATTCTCAGCAACATCCATGGCATTGTGAGGCAAAGGGAAGTGTAAGACTAGGTCATGGCATGGAAGAGTTTTCAACTTATTTTATTACAACTTTCCTACTCTCCTTTTATCTGCCTATTCTCACTTGAATGTAAGTGCCTCCCTAGCAGGAACTCCTATTAGTTTTTCATAAATATTCCTTTTAGCACATAATAGGTGTTCAATAAGTATTACTTAATTAGCTACTCTCCAAAATGACTGAGGTGGCTTTCATGAAAATGGAAGTATACATTTAGAATAAACAAATGTAAATATGTAATGTTTAACCCATAGTTTTCAATCAACAATTTCTTTAATAAATTGGGGACAATATCTATTTTTCAAAATGTCCATATTATTATATTTGAAAATTAAATCTAGCCCTGCGCTTTTCACAACTATCAAAAAGAGAGATTGTACAACCTTATTTCCAACAAAAAAGTACTTTATTTCAATCTCTAAAGATTAGCATGAAGTTATCCATTTGTTGGAAAGAATACCACAAAAGATATGATTTCCTTAATGTATTACAACTAGAGATTCATGGTATTTATCACTATGTCCTATTCCTAGTGATATTTATCTTGGTCATTTGTTAAGTTGGTGTTAGCTAGGTCTCTCTATAGGTTTCTTTGTGTAGTTGGCAAATTCCTTTGCCATCTCCCCAGTTAATGTCTAATGGTGGTTCTCTATTTTCTTCTACATTTACTTATCAAAATTCTACTGCAAATAAGAGCTATCTCTTCTTCCTCTTGCATTTTTTTATTTATGGAATTATTTATTGATATCGGTAAGAACTCAAGGATATTTTCTTTTATACTGTATATTAAAATACTATTATTTATTATGTTGCTCAGTTTGTTCTAGCTTTCCCATTGGAGGCTACTTCAGGTTGTGCCCTTTGTTGCTTTGACAAGGCACCATTTTTTTTTTTAGCATTTTCTTATTTTCTAACACCAAAAGATGTTGCAGACTCATCTTTTATTTTTCCTTTCTTAACCCTGGAATCAACCACTTCTCTAAGGAGTCCTGGTACCATTTTATTGGAAAATGGTGTTTGGGACCAAAATCTAGACATCAGGTATACTCATTGCTAATGGAGTATTATTGCTTCTGACCTCTCCTCATACACACCAAGGTTATATATGTATGTGTACAAACACGCATACACATACAATTGATCTGATTGTATCTGAGAATTCACCTACTCACTAAAATTTAATAGCAATCCCCAAATCAACACTTGCAGCATTTCCACAGTCATTCTCAGAACACTTGCAGAGGAGGAAGAAGTTGAGTCACCCACAAATGCGTGTTCTCGGCTGAAGTCAAACATGATGTTGCTTCTGCCTTCTTTCAGCTTTCATACTACAAACACATGTCCTTTTGGTGGTCTATTTACTGCTATATTTTTTACATTTTTGTGCTTTTTACTGGTGATTCTGCTTTTTAAAAATGACTCCCAGGTATAATGTGAAAGCGTTATTTAGTGTTTCTAAGCATAAGAAAGCTATGATGTGCCTACGGAGAATGCTTCTACTGGATAAGCTTTGTTCTGGCATGAATTACAGTACTTTTGGTCATGAGGTTAGTGTTAAAGAATCAAAAATATGCATCAAATAAGGTATCTTTAAAAAGAAACACACATAAAACAAAGCTACATATTGATCAGTTTATGAAAATAGTGTGAACAGGGGCTCACAGCAACCTAATCCTGCATTTCTTCTGGGAGCAATAGTTTGGTATGCTCTAGCTTAGTCTTTGGATGACTTCACTGATCACAACTACTGTGAATAAAAAGAACAGACTGTATTTCTTTATCTATATAAATATATATTAAAAACAGTGAGTTTATATTGATAGTTGCTTCCAATCCAACACCAGAAGATTCACTTTAGTGTTTCTCCCCTTCCTTATTTATACTTATTGTAACAGTGAAAAGCCCAACTCTCACTATCTGAAATCTATTTATTCAAATTTATTATTTTTATTTTTATTTTTTTCTAATTTTGATATCGTTAATGTACAATTACTTGAACGACATTATGGTTACTAGATTCCCAGTATTATCAAGTCCCCACCACATACCCCATTTCAGCCACTGTCTATCAGCGTAGTAAGATGCTATAGAATCATTACTTGTCTTCTCTGTGTTATACTGCCTTTCCCGTATCCCCCACCATTGCTACATTATGTGTGCTAATCATAATGCCCCTTTTTCCCCCTTATCCCTCCCTACCCACCCATCCTCCCCATTCCCTTTCCCTTTGGTAACTGTTAATCCATTCTTGGGTTCTGTGAGTCTGCTGCTGTTTTGCTCCTTCAGTTTTTCCTTTGTTCTTATACTCCACAGATGAGTGAAATCATTTGATACTTGTCTTTCTCCGCCTGGCTTATTTCACTGAGCATAATACCCTCTAGCTCCATCCATGTTGTTGCAAATGGTAGGATCTGTTTTTTTCTTATGGCTGAGTCATATTCCATTGTGTATATGTACCACATCTTCTTTATCCATTCATTTACTGATGGATATTTAGGTTGCTTCCATTTCTTGGCTATTGTAAATAGTGCTGTGATAAACATAGGGGTGCACCTGTCTTTTTCAAACTGGAGTGCTGCTTTCTTAGGGTAAATTCCTAGAAGTGGAATTCCTGGGTCAAATGGCATTTCTATTTTGAGCTTTTTGAGGAATCTCCAAACTGCTTTCTACAGTAGATGAACTAGTTTACATTCCCACCAGCAGTGCAGGAGGGTTCCCCTTTCTCCACATCCTCGCCAACATTTGTTGTCGTTTGCCTTTTGAATGTTGGCCATCCTAACTGGTGGGAGGTGATATCTCATTGTTGTTTTAAATTGCATTTCTCTGATGATTAGCAATGTGGAGCATCTTTTCATGTGCCTGTTGGCCAACTGAATTTCTTCTTTGGAGAAATGTCTGTTTAGCTCCTCTGCCCATTTTTTAATTGGTTTATTTGCCTTTTCTTTGTGGAGGTGCATCAGCTCTTTATATAATTTGGATGTCAACCGCTTATCAGATATGTCACTTATGAATATATTCTCCCATACTGTAGGATGTCTTTTTATTCTACTGATGATGTCCTTTGCTGTACACAAGTTTTTTAGTTTGATATAGTCCCACTTGTTCATTTTTGCTTTTGTTTTTCCTTTCCCAGGGAGATATGTTCATGCAGAAGTTGTTCATGTTTATATCCAAGAGATTTTTGCCTATGTTTTTTCTAAGTTTTATGGTTTCATGACTTATATTCAGGTCTTTGATCCATTTTGAGTTTACTTGTGTATACAGGGTTAGACAATAATCCAGTTTCATTCTCTTACATGTAGCTGTCCAGTTTTGCCAACAGCAGCTGTTGAAGAGGCTGTCATTTCCCCATTGTATATCCATGGCTCCTTTATCATATAGTAATTGACCATATATACTTGGGTTTATATCTGGGCCCACTAGACTATTCCATTGGTCTATGGGACTGTTCTTGTGCCAGTAGAAAATTGTCTTGATTACTGTGGCTTTGTAGTAGAGCTTCAAGTCAGGGAGCATAATTCCCCCTGCTTTAGTCTTCCTTCTCAGGATTGCTTAGGCTATTTGGGGTCTTTTGTGGTTCCATATGAATTTTAGAACTAGTTGCTCTAGTTCACTAAAGAATGCTGTTGGTATTCTGATAGGGATTGCATTGAATCTGTAGATTGCTTTGGGCAGCATGGCCATTTTGAGAATATTAATTCTTCTCATCCATGAACACAGTATGCATTTCCATGTATTAGTTTCTTCTTTAATTTCTCTCATGAGTATCTTGTAGTTTTCAGAGTATAATATAAGTCTTTCACCACCTTAGTTAGGTTTATTCCTAGGTATTTTATTCTTTTTGATGCAATTATGAATGGAATTGTTTTCCTGATTTGTCTTTCTGCTAGGTCATTGTTAGTGTATAGATAGGAATGCAAGACACTTCTGTGTATTAATTTTGTATCCCACAACTTTGCTGAATTAAGATATTAGATCTAGTAGTTTTGGAGTGAATTCTTTTGGGTTTCTTATGTTCAATATCATGTCATCTGCAAACAGGGACAGTTGGACTTCTTCCTCACCAATCTGGATGCCTTTTATTTCTTTGTGTTGACTAATTGCTGTGG